TTTGTTTGCACTRCGCAACTTATTACGAAAAGAATATATATATATTCGAATAGGTACACTAGTTGAGCTTTTTTCGCTGAAATATAACATTACAATATCTCAGTATTTTTCTATCGGCGTCTGGTTTGCGTCACGTGCATATTTGCTCAATTGTATTACAACATCGGTTGCGTTCAGCGTGTGAGAATAGCTAAGACCAAATAAACAACTTTCGAGTATTTTAAATACCAGTAGCTCTATTTATCAATTTACAAACGTTTCATGTTTAGCATTTTTCATTTTATAGACGGTAAGTAGAATTATAAAGATTGTGTTTTGTGAAGCTGTTTAACTTCGTGTTTTCTTTTGGAAAAATGAAGAAAATTGCTGATACTAAAATCTGTGCTTCAATGGTTGAATTAAGGGCTCTCATATCGGCAAGTTGCAAATTTAGCTGAAACTTCATTTGGGTCAGTGAAAAATATTGCTAATTGTCATGAAATATCAGTACCAAAACTTCGATCTGTTCGGCCTCTTGGCCTAGGGAGCAGTAAAATCAGGTAGGGAGATTCAAAAAGAACTGGAGAGGAAAACAAGTTTCTCGCATGACTGTACACCGCGCATTGTAAAACTAGGGTTTAAAACCAGACGCAAAAACATACATTACGTTTGGAAGCCGAAGATCAAAGACTATTTATTACCAGCCGCGATGTCATCTCATTACTCAAATTTGGTGGCGGAAAAGTCCTTTTTTGGGGTGGCTTTTGTAAAAGTGGTGTTGGGGACCTAATGTTAATCGAGGGAGTATCTTAGAATTCAACGAATTTAAACTTTGAAATGGCCCCCTCAAAGTCCCGATATTGATCCTATTGAAAACGTGTGGTTTGTTTAAAAAAAAGGGCGACACATTGTATTAGTCCACCGAAAACAAAGGCGGAACTATTTACTAGATGTGTAAAAGTATGGAACTTCAACTATTGTAGATTGAAGCGGTGATTGCGACCAAAGGAGGCTATACTAAATATTAAGGCGGTAAAAATTATATTGTATCAAAATTGAGCAAGCGCCATACAAGAGAATTTATATTTCTTCTTATACAACCTGAATAAAATTGTCTTTTGTTGTTTTATATTATAGACGGACTGAAAAATGTATTTGAAAAAACTGTAATTCAATTCGCCCAAATTAAATACAAATTTTTTGTAACAATCGACATTCGTGATTTTATTTGCTCAATTGTGTTACATACTGTAAACTAAAATTACCCAACACACAATTAGAGTAAATTTCAATTGCTCAATAGTACAATATAACTGTGATACTTATCTTAGCAGATCACTTAATCCATATTTTTTCACCACAAAGTTGTAAGTGTAAATTAAAAAAAATTGCAAGAGCAGGAAATTTCACAGCTTAACACGAGAAGAGTTGCCAGAATGTACTCAATGTAAATCAAGCAGAAATGTATAACCATAACCAAGAAAAAGAATCGTATAGCTAAATGATGTTACATAGAAAAGTACTTTATTCTAAAACTAAACAGAAGAAAAACGATGTGTTTTGAGTATTTAAGATTAAAATCAAAGATGTTTTAAAACCCTAGTTGGTATTAGTTTCATGGGTGAGCAAGTTTTCTATTTTATTCTTTTTCTTATCATAAATACTGAATATTCGAACATTTTCATTTGTAGTTGTAATTTTTTTATTCGAAATTGGTTCTGACGATTTTTTTTATATGAACTAACTTTTATTAAATAATGTTTAAGGAAAACAATTCAGTAATTATAAAAATTAATAGCAGCATAAGACAGGCCGATTCAGTAATAGAATTTCTTGATTTTGAAGCCACTAAATTGCAGACCAAATAACTCTAAGTCTTCCAAAACTGGTACGAGATGATTTTCTGGTCTGGTTTGCTACGAAATCTAGCTTGCCCTTTATCTGCACTATAGTACCAACACCATGCTTTGTAAAGCAATACCACACCATAACACTTCGCCCGTCGAACTTAACCTCTTCATTGTATACTTTCTCTCCAATTCTTTATTTGAAGGGTATCGCACATAAGTTCTTCCATCAGGTGCGTATAAGTTGAATTTAGATTTGTCACCCGAAACTACATAGTTCCAAAAAGAGGAGAAGCCTGCGCAACCTTACAAATTCCAATCGCGCCTTTCGATAATTGGGTGTAACTTCTGGAAGCTTGTTTTCCAAAAGTTGCTAACAGTCCTACTGGTAATGTTTTCGTCATATTCCTCGTGTATTGAAGATCGTATTTAATTGCAAACAAAAAAAAAAACAAATCCATAAAATCATCTTCAAGTTTCAACCAATGCTATTGGAATATGTATTGGTATGCTAGTTATTGTGCCGCCGGTGTAGATATTACTTCACTGGTGTGGTAAAATAAAAAGATTGTGAAAAACGATCAAACACAAAGACCTGCATGACTTAGGACCTTCTACCCTACGTTCTTTCAATGTGAAACTAGCGGGATAGACAACAGAAAAATGAAAGTGATGATGGAAATAAAGGCACAGATATAGAAGAACTCAGCATTTTGCACAATAGCTTCAACTGCGAAAATTAAATACAAATGAGGTGATGAATAAGGGAACGGAGCGAACACTGCACTGAAATTCAGAATGCATTTGGGGAAGGCTTTCAAAACTTTCACAAATGCAACAGATTTTTCACAATAGCTTGATTTTTATCGTTCAGTTTGTAGCTATATGTCATGGTGATACCAGCGGTTCCGACTAATGAGTATTTTCTTGGCAAGAAAATGACGTGTACGAAATTTCAAATTGACATGGCTAAATCAGCTCAGCTTATCATCCCTGCCAGCCATGGCTAACCACTTTTCTCAAATATATCAATACAACTACACATTTTTTCTATATGCACTAACTCCAATGCACATGTTCGGAATGTTTTGTTTTATTTGCCTAGATGCGATGAAAAAAAGTTTCTTTCATTTCTTGATTTATTTGAATGAGAAAACATAATTGTCAATACTGATAAAAGAAAATCCCAAAAAGGGTAATAAAAAACGATTGAAATACGCGTGTCATTCGTGATCGTGCAAAAAGAAGGTAAGTGAATGAATTTTATGTGAACTTTAATTACTTCATTTGTTTTTATAGCATTGGAAATCAAAATGAATTGGAAATAGCAGCAGCAGCATTATCATCAGAAGCACATTTGCTGCTTGTTGTTAAGTATGTGAAAGTAAGTGTGTGTTGTTTGAAATTGGACTGCGCAGTCCAACATAATATGCAGAAATAAATATATRTATACATACATATGTATGTATGTATTTTATGCGTTTAAGGCGGCGTTCACAATCCAATATAAAATGTGAAAATGTTTGTTTTATGTTTTAAATTATCAGATAATATTAATATTTCTCTCAGATATTATTATCATTTTTATATAAATAATCTTTCTTTCAGAGCCAATTCTATTTG